CGTTAGATTCCGAAACAGAAAAATAACACCGGACATGTCTACTCACTTCTAAATTTCAATGTATTGAAGTAAAATTATTTGAAATTGATATTATTGAAGACGATAAAGCTTCATTGGAAAGAACTATGTGTAGTAATAAATATTGTAACCCAGAATTTTTCATAAACTACAAAATGCACGATTATCGTCGTTATTTCCATGCAAAGTTTAGATGATGTTATACCTTATAGGTCAATTTTTTTTTTATAATTTTAGTTTAGGCCGTTTCGATAACAGACCGGAGCCATGGCCTAGAGCAGAGGTGGCTAAACTCCTTGGACATTTTTGTGACCCACGAGATCCATCATCATCTTACAAACTATATTTACTTTACAATGGTCGCTGATTTTCGGTATCTACGAATATATAATATATAATTACTATAATTCAGGACGGAAGGAGTAGTAGAGATATAAAACAGAGGATAGCTCAGGGTCAAGTAATTAACAAAAAAAGTCAATTCTCTTTTTAATTTAGAAGTTCGAAAAAGATTGTTTATGGTGTAAGTCTGCTGTATGAGTGCAAAACGTAAACGGTAGTCAAAAAAGAGGTTGGAAGCGTTTGAAATGTTGTGTTGCAGGTGAATGATGAGGATCTTATGGATAGAAAAAGTTAGAATTGAGAAGGTATTAGAAAAACTAAGAAAACAGAAGTCACTATGGAAGTCAATAAAACATAGGCGAGATAGATTCGTAGGACACCTTCTGAAGCATAAGGAAACATATTAGAAGCAGATATAGAAGTTACGTGGAGTGGAGGTAGACTAAGATTAGATTACGGTTCACAAATAGTTAAGGATGTAGAATGTTCTAGTTTTAGAGAAATGCGAAGATTAGCTCAGGACAGGAAAGAGTGGAAGAACGTGTCCAACCATTCTTAGGAATGACGACTCTATGATGATGATGATTATAAAGATCAAAGGAGTGAAACAATATTCTTGTGAGTATATGTAAGACAAATATTGCCTGTTTTATTAATGAGCTTACAATTATGAGTTAAAAAAATGTCTATAGTAGGTATAAATCTAATACAGAGATATATAATTTTACATGCGGCCTGCATATAGCAAGCAACATTTGGATTGGTTACGTATGGACTAGATGTTTAGACCATTGCTAATTATTTGAGAGGGTACCGATTCGATTCCGAATCCGTTTGTCCTAGTCCAAGATTTTCTGTGATTTCTTCAGATTACATAGGCAAATGTTGGGACAGTAATATAACACAGATAATCTCTCATTCCGTGACATCTTTCTGACCTCAACTACCACCCACCCATTGTCACGATTCCTAAAACGAGACTACCCACCAGCATTAGTAGAAAGTGAGAATAAAACGCCCAAAAGCTTTTTTTTAATTTTAAGTTTCCGTGAGGGGGGGGCATGTATTTGAAATACCTAAATTTTCAGCAATAAGTTTCTGGAGATACAACCCAAAATTGGTAAAGGTCTAGATGATGGCCCCCACACCCTTCGGCTTCGCCCCCCCCCCGAAGGGGGGCACGAACTTTTTATGGTACAATGGTGGGGGAGACCTCCTCTTTCGATCCCAAAGGGGGTGGGGGCCATCATCTAGACATTTACCCCAAAATTTTCTTAATTTTAGATGTTTCAGTCACTTTTCAAACCATACCTCACACAAGCTACTATAAAAACGTTTTTTTCTAAAATTCTTTAAACGTACCTAATTGCTAATAACTGGAAAATACAAAGTAGATACAAAGTAGATACTAGGACAGATGCCTACCTACGGCAAGTTTGAAATTTCTCGTTTTAAGTAGTAGTTTTCAAGAAGCACGTTTGAGACGAACAAAACATATGACTAATATAAGGAAGAACCATAGCCGCACGCGCATTCCAAGAAGAACTGCTATACTACATGAAAAACAAACAGTGCTCGAGTATCACAACAAACATTTCTGTGCTTATACACTAGTCGTAAGATAAAATAATGTTGTTATAAAATCAACGACCAATAGTGTTATCGGACGTACGTACAACTTAAATTAAGTCACTATAGGGGACAATCACTTCCAAGAATTATAAAGGACAAGCGTTATCTGTTTTTGTTTACTACATATTTAAACACTTATTGAAACCATTATCAGGAAATAATTTCATTGTCAGCGTAAAAACTTAACAAGAATACTCGATGTATAAACTGCTTAATGATTTTATAACATTCAACTGGATTTTATACTTCGCTTAAGGTGATTGTCATTAAGGTAGTCCGTCCGAAATTTTATTTACGGTAATATCAATAGTTAAAACCTGTTCACTGACAGCATAGAAAGAAAAAGACTTCTAACGGAATTAAAATTTAAATAATCTTATTTTTAAAAAATAAATACCTATTTAAAATGTAAACAGTAAACCTAACGGCATTCATTTATAAATTGAAAAATTGACTTTTCACAAGCATTTTGTGCTTTATACGAAAAATAAGTTGTGAAATGTAAATATAGACACACACCAACATTAATCCTTATCACCATAAGGTCGTTAGTCCTAAGACTGATTGGACACACACCCCCACTTTTTATAATCCTAAGCTAATCTAATCTAGGTCTACTCCTCTTAAATCCTGCTTCTACTTTTAATATGTGTCTGATCACCCCTTCATGCCTGAGAAGCTGTCTTACCAACCTATCTTGCTTATTTTTCATTAACTTCTATAGTGACCTCTGTTCACCTATTACTTCCAATACCTCCTCATTTCTAAGCTTCTCTATCCACGATATCCTTATCAATTGCCTATAACACCACGTTTCAAACGCTTCTAACCTTTTCTTTTGCAACGCGCCCACCGTCCTATTTCCTGCTTTGGTTATCAATTCAAAAATACGAAATACTGATTAATTACCACAGGAAAGAAATCGAAGGTAATTGAGGGTATAAATTTTTAAATTTAAAAAACCACACCAGCGTTTCGACCACCAATATGCGGCTTCTTAACGGTGTTTTTCTTACTTACCTACTTAAGCGCTGTTTGTTCAAATACTGCAGCTTATGCGGCTAATACAATCAATACCGAAAAAATACCACTACATAGCTCGATAAAGCAATAAATAAACAGATAAATAGTTAAAAACAACACTAATTTGAAAACAGCACGATATGTATAAATAAAACAATAAATTATTAAAGAGACACATAGCATTAGTAAATATTATTTATAGACTGTGCTGTTTTTAACTAGTTATTTATTTATTGTTTTATCGTGTAGTTTAGTGATTACTTTTTCAATTTTAATGTATTAGCCGCATAAACTGCTAAATTTGAACCAAACAGATTATAAGAAAAACTAGTTAAGGCAAAAGGTTAGTGTAGTTGTTTTAAATAAAAAATGCCCTAAATTAACATTGATTCATTTCGCATTGCAATAAAAAGGAGAAGCATTTTAATAAAAAGAGGAAGAAATGGATATAATTAATTAATTACAGCTGTTTATTTTTGAATTAACACAATCCAAGTTCACCAAAAATTTTCTAGTAGACACAAGGTGTTTGAGTGAAAATAACAGACTTCTCTAACAAATGTCCTTAACTTTGGTTAACTTAATTGCTTTTATTACACTTTGGTACCTATATTACTTTATTTCTATGAAAAAATTGCTGAAGAACTTTGTAGGAAGACAGATAGGTACGCAGTTATATATACCCTACACCCTTTAAAAGATGACGCCGTCTTCTGATGATTACATGTAATAGAATAACCCCATGTTCGGTTCTCTATTAGCCACTACTGTATTGAATTTGAGGAATTTATGATAAATCAAAAGTGGCTAACATTTTTATGGTAGATAAGAATTTGCATACGATAGGTACCTACTAGAAGATCAGTCACATTTACCTACATATTTGTGTGAAGTACATAAAAAAGTTATGAAAATTACTTCCATAGAATAGGTATTCTAAAGTTTTACCATAAGTATGCAATTGTCAGTCTCTAGTTGAAGGGGGATAATAACACCATGATAAGGGAAGAATTATTTGTCAATATAAACAAGTAGATACATAAATATGTATTTTCGATATGTTAATTAGGTAGATACTTGCCTACTTAAAAATATTTTTAAAACATTACCTATCTAGCAATTTCATAAATTCATGTAGAACCCCATGAATATACGTACTTAGGTATTCCGGAGAATAAAATTACGGAAGACTGACAGTCAAATAAATAAGCTCTTCTAAAATTATCGTTCATTTATTATTTAAAACTACAACAAAATCTTATTACTAGAGGTCAGCCAGTAGGTAGATGATGAAGTGTAATATTTCTCATCGTTATAATGAATCGATAGACCTTGATGTTCATTCCACAAAAACACCTCCACTCACAAATTCTAAAATACACATCATTATCTTTGATAAAGCAGAACCTTGTAGATGGGTAGATGTTACCTAATAATGTTAATATTGGTGCAATTCGTAATAGGTATACACATATGAACTGTCTGCAGTTTAAGCAAAACGCTAAACAAGTATGAACAAGTTTCATTTAAGTTGTTACGTGTTATACTACACATTTGAAGAAATGAGTAGGTATACAATAAAACCAGTTAGGTACTTCATTGAAGATAGTTTAGGTAGAAACTGCAGAATAGTACTTATTGTTTCCACAAAAATTAAGCAAAAAAACGGTGTACCTGTACTGTTACAATTAACTGTATTAGGCATATGCATATTAAAGGTTAAAAATCTGAATTAATCACAATTAACAAATTTCTTATTTCTACACTGAGATACCTAAGACATTTTCATCGGATTTGTAGATCTGTGCCTCTTTTGTCATAATAAAATCAGGCACATTAAACCAGCAAGTAGACATTTAATGTAATTATAAACACTTCGCAATGTTGTGTGTTCAGCAGAAAACTAATGTGGGGTAAAGAAGTAGGTCGCCGTATGTCACCGCTTAACAAAAACACCAAGGGTGCGGTTTCGAAAATAAACTCACCTTATCTGCCGGGATATTTCTACCAGACATGGTTGTCTTAAAACCTAATACATCCAAAAATGAGGTACGGTGCACTAACTTTAAGATGCTTAAAGCAGGACACTAAGCACTATTCCATTATACTATTGAACGCGTAGGCACTGAATCGGTTTCTCGGGGTTGTTCATATTAAACCGAAACTATTATGCGACAACGCCCTAATGTTCATTGTATACGGAATTGGCCACAAGTATTTAAAACTATTCAGGTTATTAAAACCAACTTAAACTACAAACGAGGCTAAAAGCAGAAACCACGACACTTCCTCAGTCCTCTCCGCCAGCTACTGACTAATGAAGACTGTTTATTTTCACTGTTAAAATTTACGAAAAAGTGACATCTATTATGAAAACGCAAATACAACGATAACGAAACTATAGATAATAAAGATTTCCTACTAGAAAAAGTTTTGTATTATTGTGCTAATATTCTTGTTTTTTGTTAATAACATATGCTAGCGATATATTATCGGCATTTGAAAAACAATAAATAACACAACAGATTTGAAAGCATACGCTAAAAATGTCAAACAATAAATACTAAAACATTTTTAATGTTGTCAACATAACCTTTGAGAAACCATAACCTGTAAAAACAACAATAAAAATGACAAGGTGATAATTTCAGTTTTAAAATGAATTCTACATTAAATAATGAAGAAAATGATGAAAATAATACTGCCAATAGTAAAAATAATCAAGAAACAATTGAATCTTTAACGGTAAGTACATAGACAAAGTGGTAGGTGCACTTTTTTTAACAGATGTTCAGACATCTTAATTGATCTCAACAAATCTTATTTAATGATTAAAGGAAATCGTAGATGAATTGTATAAGTTTCGCGACTATTATTTTGAAGAACACCCTCTTGACAATGCACTAGAAAAAAGTAAGGACATAGAAAATAAACTCCAAAATACCTTAGATATATTGAACCGAAATGCAGGTAATAGATGCTTGCTTCTTCTTTTCTGCATTACTTTTTAATTTTATTGCAGAATATGCCGTAATTGAACATCGAGCCCGTTATTTTTACTTGAAAGGAAGAGCTTTAAATGTATTGCCAAAGTACAACAAAGATGCTGAAGATCTCCTTCTCAAGGCTGTTAAACTAGATCCAAAACTTGTGGAAGCTTGGAACGAACTTGGGGAGTGCTACTGGAAGAAAGGAAATTTAAAAGAAGCAAAAAACTGTTTTGTGGGAGCTTTAAATTATGTGTGTTTTTACTTGATTATTTCGATTTGAGACTGAATGTTAATGATTCTATTTGTAGACAAAAAATAAAATCTCTTTGAGAAGTTTATCTATGTTGGCAAGACAAGAAATATGTAATAACAAAGATGAGATGCTTAGTAATATTGAAAAAGGCTTGACACTAGCAAAAGAGGCAGTACAAATGGATCCTCAAGATGGCCTTTCTTGGGTTGTCTTAGGAAATGCACATTTATCAGCATTTTTTGGGATCTCACAAAATCCAAAGACTTTAAAACTGTGCCTCAGTGCATACTCTCAAGCGGTAACATTTCTCCTTCTGAAATTGAATACTTTACATTTGGCATTTCTATCATTTTAGGAAAGGGATATTATTGCCAGAAGTACACCTGATTTACACTACAACAAGGCCATTGTATGTACAAAATAAACAAAAAGTATTTCTGTATGTGAGCTTTTATTTACAGACACTAAAATATGAAGAGGAGTTCCTACAGGCACTTGAATCATTTAGTTTAGCATCCAATTACGACCCTACATGGGAACCACCACAACAGAAAAAGAAAGAACTGATTAAATATTTGAATAACGTTTCTGAAATGGTAAAGACGTCAGGAAAAATGAAAGTTAAAAGATTGAAACAAATTGTTCAGGTATTACAAAAAAAAATGAGTTGCCTTTTTACAATTTTTTTTATATATCTACTAGGCAATATATTTGTTAAAATGCACATTATTAATGCTTTAATAAATGATCAATACAATAAACTTGCAGCATGCTCAGTTCAACTTCACATTTTGTTGTAGGGTAGCTCTATTTTAACTATGAATGAGTATTTAATATTTACTACTGATAGTCTACAAAATTACCAAAAAGAAATTGTCATTTTCAACCATACCTTTAAGAAATAAGTTATACAATTTTGTATTTTTTAATTCGTCTCAAAATATGTCGTCAAAAACAACTGTGGGGTTCACTCATTCACTTAAGCAGGGGGGAAATGTACTCCTCCACCTACCTAGGTTTTCAATAAAGTTTTACATTTGGAAAAACCTTCGCATTATTAAAGTTGATAATGAATAATAATAATAATAATATTAAGATCTCCTAATAATGTCTACATTTATTCTAGTCAATTGATAACAAGCAGTTAGGGCCTTATAGTGGTGGAAAATACACATCTTCAGGTGGCCAAGCTGTGAAGTTAGATGAAGTATTACTCTCAAATTTATCAGTAGGTTTAAATGAAGAAAAGGTAATGCTAGGAAAAGTTGTGTGCTCCATTTATAATGAAGATAAAGTTCCATTGTAAGTTTTCTCGACAAAATTCGAGATAATTAAAAAAATTCTATAAATTATTTACAGTACTTTTTGTATGGTAGACAAGCAAGGCGAATGCTGTGCAGTGACTGTATTTAACATTGCTGAGACAAAAGGTGTAATTATTGGTGACTCAGTAGCAATTCCAGAGCCCTTCATTACGGAAATCGACTTTAGTTTTGAAGAAAACGTAAGTTATCTACAATCTATTTTTCGTTATTAACATTTAGTTTATTTCTTAATAAAAATAAAACCGTTACAATGTTACTGATTTTCTTAAACGTCTTATTTGTTTGAGTATATACATATTCATTTTGTATTTAGTATTGAAACTCAAAGTTCACTTAAAATAGGAATTAGTAGCTTTCGAAGTAAGAATTGCACCAGAGGTTCTGTTAGTAATTTTATATAAGTCTTAAACAGTTTTGGATTTTTTGATATTTGGGTAACTTAATCAGTTTTCCAATTTTTTGGATCATAGTCAGATTTATGCCAAGAAATTAATAGAAAGCAATATTGAATGTATGTATATGCATAGGAATTAAACAGAAGTAGACAAAGCTTTATACTCGAAAATGTATTTCTAGTCCTTCTAGGACTTAGAAGTGGTTAACGCTTTGTGATTTGTATTAGAAAAGGGCTTCAAGCTCTTTTAATATGCGTATGTTTTTGAACTTTATTAATTCTTGAAGTAATTGGTAATTTAATGTCCTTGGATTTTAAAATGTAATTAGAGCATCAAAGATCAAAGCACTTTAAGTAAGGGTTTTGGGCTTTACCCAGATTTGGAAGTAGAATTGTCAATAACTTTGTATTACAAAAGACTTGCAATTTGGCAATTTAGACAAATAAACAAACTATTTCCGCAGACAAAATAAAACCAATTACATTTCTACGTGTCGCATAAAATCAATTTAACGGTTATAGATCATCTCTATAAACCTGTAAAATTAGGTTTTGTAACATTCCAGACGATGATGCAACCCCTCCTCAGGTTGCTTTCTATTGTTAAGCAACTGATGCGCTTATTTATTTCTAATAAATTTATTACTTAATTGATACCTTCAAGGACCATGCGACCACTAGCAAATATTAATCATATAATGTAATCGATTAATATTTGTGATGGAAAAAAAGTAAAAAACAAACCCGTGCACGTTGCACTCTATTAGCTGTCGTTGTTCTGGTTTATAACTTTAACCCCAATTTTTGAAAAATTAGGTAAGCTAAAGTCAGTTGCAACTTACGACATTTTTATTTGCGGTTGTCTTAATTATTTTGTTGCTGTACGAAATTCTTACGCTGTAACAAAATTTTTGTTGTTTTCTTGGACAGAATGAGTAACTAAATAATGTTTTAAACATTTTTTGTGAAGAAGTAAATATGTTTTACAATTATTGATCATATTTAATAGGTGCCCTTTTTATAAACGGTACCTAATACAAATTAGAAAGAATAAAGTAATTCTTTAATTAATGTAATATAAAAAATTTATTAACAATAAAATAGTTTATGTTTCCATAACTGTGGATTTATCATAATCAATTCTTTTTAAAATATCTAACATAAACACGTGCTTCTTACCTTTCCAATATCTTTTCAGACCTTCAAGTTCAGACTCATTAGAGTGGAAACGCCCTGTGTGTTGGTCGTGAATGGTAAAAAATTAGGTAAAGAATATCAAGCTGGAGTCCAGATGTCGATATTCCGAAAGTTTGATTAATCTTATATGATTTGTGATTTGATCTGTTTTTATTTATATTTTGATGTTTTAAGAAAAATCCTGCTTCGTTTTCTCCCTTTTCTAAAATACAGCAAACTTACAATTAATTGCTTTTAATTAATGTAACATTTTGCAATAATAATTAATTATTTCCTCCGTCGCCATTTACTACAACATAAAAATAAAGTTGACTGCATGCTGTATTAGCTATAGGAAAATAAGTTATTTACTCATATTGTAAGAAGTTTCATTTTCTAATGTACGAAAACACAATTGCACTTTTTATACAATAAATATAAAATTAACAATAATCCTGAGTATGATTTATAAATAAGTCCTGTACACAGTCAAACAGGAGGTAAAGAACCTCCTCTCCAACTTAAAATAAAAGCCAGTTTTTGGCGGGAAACTTGTGGTGGTACACAATTACTTTTAAAAGTTTCGGAATAGCACAGCACATTCTTAAAATCTTTTATACTTTTTACAAGAATTTAAATACACTGTAGTTTTCTTCCAGAAACCAAGCCGATACTAATTTACATTTATTTAATGTTTTAATAATCTATTTGGATGCAAAAGTTTTGAAAATATAGATTAAAAAAGTCATTATACAAGTAATAATTGAATCATGAGTGGTTTTTATACAGTCAGGAATGTAAAATCTAATTACAATTGCAATATTATCTATGTACTATATCAAAATGACTTTGTGCTTGTATATTACACCCAAGAATCAAATAAGAGCAGATTTTTAACACCAGTTAAAATATTGTTAAAAAAATGCAAACAAAAATGTAAATAGAGATGACAAGTACCTTGCATTTTAAGATAGAAATAAACTCAAGGGANTTGGTGAACTGAATATAATATATATATATAAGTAAAGTAAAGGAATTAAAACACTTGGCAAGTTTCACAATTTTCATTTATTTCTCTGAAGATCGTTTCGGTGTTTAGAGCATTTTCAAAGAGTATACAAAAATTTACTCAGTATTTTTTTATACCTACTCTTTGAAAAATACAAATATTGTGCTGAATAATAATTTACCCAGTTAATAAAAGGAAATAAAAATTTACTCAATAAATTTTTGTATACTCTTCGAAAATGGTTTAAACACCGAAACGATCGTCAGAGAAATAAATGAACATTGTGAAACTTGCCAAGAGTTTTAATTCCTTTACTTTAATTTTATAAAAATGTTTCACCAAGTGCCAAGCGAGTCTACAATTTCGAATATACAAACAAAAACTTGAAGCAACTTATTTTCGTGAAAGATTTGAATATGTTTGTTTTTGAATTCAGTTTTTAATTGTAGATATATTTTGAAAAAAAGTCAAATTTGTAAGAATTTGAAGTTTGTACTCACTTTATTATAAAATGGTGTGTTTTTGTAATAATATTAATTTCCCGCCAAAAACACTTAAAAAGTACGGCAAAATCTTCTTCATTCGTCTGCAACCTCGGTAGCGCGACTAATGGCACTAACACCTAAGTATCATGATATAATAGAAAACTTCCTCTTCTTTAGACTGAGAACAATCTCGAAATCGATCGACGACGATAATAAAAAAGCAACAAACAAAACACATCATCATCACCGTCATTAACTTTAACCTAAGAGTAAAAAAGACCGCATAGATCACAGATTCACTTCCCAAAGGTCGAGCATATTCTCGAGAACTTCATTAAACCATTGCTTTTTAACGGGGTCCTTGAAGGCTGGAGAAATGGCATTCATTTTTATCTGCAACAAGGCTTCGTTGCCGAGCAGATTGTTTAAGACACCTAACAAATGCGGATCTCCATGGATTTTCAGCAGACATGGGTAGGAAAATATGTAGTATCTTACACGAAGTTTCGACTGCGCCCAGTTTTCCACCGTTTTATTGCCGCTTGAAACTTTGATTTTGCCCATATGTTCGGCATACCATGGACTGAAATAGCTCAGAAGGAGTTCGCGAGTATCCACGTCTGAAACTCCTTCCTTTTGTAGTTTCGATTTAATGTTCTGGTAAACTGACCGCTTGTACACGAACACCTTAAAAAACAAAATAAAATTTTTATAAAATCAATACCTAGAAAAATAATTACAGAACTTGTTTATTATTTTGTCAGACAACAGGAATTTTGATTCCAAATAAATAATATTCAAATTGTATGTATAACAAACATTTCATAATAGGTATACCAAAAATTCTTGAAGATGAAACGATATTAAGTAATGTAACTTTGCAACTCCTTATTAACAATAAATACAATGTTAAAATAAACTTTTGAGTGTTGGGAATCTTAGTGTTTAGAAACCCACTAATGCTTCAAAAAGAATTTTAATTTATGATCATGATATGGGCAATATTTTTGGAATAAAAATAAAACGATTTTGATTTGATACCGATAAAAACCCTAAAAATTTTTTATTCCTATAATTACTCTACTGTTTAAATCTTAAACATTTTATTTTAATATAATTAATGTATTTCCATCAAATTTTGTCATTCTTTTAACTTTTCACAATCATTACGTACGTAATAAAACTTCAATGATATACAAGGACAATTATATTCGCACTGCCTATTAAGTGTGTAGTTTCATATGAACTTGGCGAATGATTTGATAAGTTTTATCAAAACGTGACGGGAAACGTTCTGTAACCTTGACAATTAAAATTAAATAATAGCACACATATCAAAAGTATAATATGAATAGGCCTTAGAACAGTGAAATTGGTTACTACCAATTTCGACCAAGTAATGCGCGGTGCATCGGTCGGTCGGTCGCATTCTCAATAACATAAAAACCAAACAGTTTTTGATATTGTAAAATTGTAGTAGGCATCACTATTAAAAACCATACATCATCCTGTTCTGCTTTAATCGTAAAGCTGAAGGCTTCTTAAAGTCCTCTCAAGCCTCCTATAGGAATTGTGGAATTGGGAGGGTGGATAGTGGTGGTTAAAGAAATAGGAACGAGACGGACCGGATGTAGGCGCTATAACAATGAAGGACTACCTATTGGTAGAATATTACTGCCCTAGGTTTTACCTCTACAACCAGAAAGATTAAACCAAGTAGATAAAATGGAAATCTAGCCGAATGCAAACCACTAGCGACTACACCATGTCGTTCGGTTCCTACATCATTAAAAAGAACGATTTAAAGCCGGGAATACATTGCGAAACGTTGCTATTTGTTTGCATTCTTTTGCGTTGCTGTGCCCTAAATCATTTTATTGACAATGATGTATGAGGCACTGACCACTAATAACTGATTTTCTCTCATATTTTCCCCCATATAATAATAACAACACACGAAAGGAAGATCAATGTAGGCATCTCGTCAAATTGAAGTAAGTAGTCTAAATTATTTTCAATGCGTTCACATACGAACCCTTACGAACGTTGGCAGACATTCGCAACTCAATTTTCCTTTCCTTCTTTTTGAGTTTACCAACTGTCGATGGAAACCGTTAATTCGCATCGCTGACCATTCGAACCCAAAATTTAGTCGTTGGAAATGGTTATAAATGACAGTCTGCGCTTGACGCACGAATGTAAACGAATGATAATTTTCCTCAAAGCTGTTCTCGACTTAATATTTTATTTTTACTCTCATCGCCTTTACAGTTGTGCAATCAATTTAGTGATGAGCAAAATTGGTCTGCCTCTTGCACTTTCGCAAGACCGAGACCAAGATTCCCGGTGCGCGAGTCGCATTTGGACGGTGACTGCAGTAATGAGCAAAATTCTTCTTGAACTTGCGAAAATGAAAGACCAAGACTATTTTTAGAGTATCTTTACACTAACAAGACCAAGACTACAACCAAGACCGAACGAACAATGCCAAGACCAAATACGCAAAACTGAAAGGAAAAATTATTACTTCCGGTGGATTTACAAGTTAAACTTTTTCAAGCAACTTCAATATATTCTTTTCTTGACGGAACAAAACATTTTTTCTACTTGAAATTTTCAGTGTGCTTTACTATATTTTAATACTAAATATAAAAAAATAACCTTCATGTAATTTCATCTTATTTAAATTTATTTTCTATATATTAAAAACCACGCGTCCTTATGCTATTTTTAGTTAGTAAACCTAACTTCGTAAATAGTACACGAATCTTTTTAACTTCTGCTTTTCTTTCATATCTTTTCTGTATATTAGGAAACATTTTATTCCTTCTTTTTTGCTCAAGCTGAAAATCTAGCACGTATACCACTATACAGAACTGAAATCGCTCGAGTTTAAAGCTCACTTTTCCCGTTTCCGTTTCTCTAAAAGAAAAAATGTTAGCAGATAAAATTGCGTGAAATTTGTCACTCCCTCTTAAGGAAAACATTGAGCGAGGAAACGTTTCCTGGTGGCAATAACGTGGAAACAACAGTCGCGGCCACGATGTTTATCTTTGCAGATAAATTGTGCTGGGGGAGATGAGCCATTTGTTTGGTCGTATCAGTGACATACATACTGCAAGACGTACTTTAGGAGCCACATGAGAAGCACAAATAACTGACAAAGAACGCTTTGTTTATTGTTACTACAACCCGGCAAATCTTTCATGAGGTCTGTGGTTTCCACAGTGACAACCAGCTAAAACCTTGAAATATGTATATGCAATTTATTCAATGTAACGACTTGGTTTTCTTATAAATGTATCAGCACACGTACGTGTTTTTTATAAGATCACAGAAATTCACATTGTGGTTTGAATACTGCACAACTTCCAGAAAATTAACAAACCAACAGAAAGGTCTAACAAAAGACAAAATATCCAAAATTAGAAGACTTTCTGCTACGTGAAACGCTCATATTACCTGTTATTAAACCTTTTGTTTACTTCTAACAGTTAACGTAAAACAAGGATTTTCAGTTATAAATTTTTAATTCTGTAATAAAGCTGAAAAGAGAGTAGATACGCCGAAATATATAGTTTATGACTAACTATACCTGATCGTTCACACCTAATAACACTAAAAGCAACAGGAAGTGTTATAATATACCTTACAGTATGCTACCTGCTTGCAGCATTATCATTTCGGTTTTTTGTTTGATTTTATTAAGTAGCCATTAACTTTTTCAATAAACTCTTTAAGTGCATAAATTACCAATTTTTTTTCTTTTTCCTTTCCGGTACGATAATGAAACAGGCAACAAAATTTTGACACCATTATAAGGTGATTTTCTTCAATTATACCTTACTTTCGTAAGGTTTTTTGGTAGATAGATATGTCTGCGGATGCAATATTTGAAACCTACGGTGACTTTATCCAAAAACAATGAAAAAGTACGTTACCGATATTTACACAAAAAAACAACAGTTACATGTTGCATTTTCATTAGGTCCCACCGCTTATGGCAGGCAATCCGGAGGATAGGGTGGAAAGGATTGCTTCGGCCTCATTGAGGAATCCTACAAAAAGATGTGTGGTGATCGGAGAGATACAGATGAGATGAACGAAATTAAGACAAAAGCGAGGTAAAGAATATTTTGTAAACCAAGGGTCAGCAACTGGTGAGTCGCGGTCCACATCCGGACCGCATAGGGTCACAAACTGTACCGCCAAAAACTTTGGGAAACATAAACTATTTAAGTAAATTATTTAAAAAATATTTTCCTCTAGATAGCAAAATACTGCATTAAAACGTGCCTAAAGTCAGCAGAAATACTGGGTCTTAAACAAAACGAAAGTAGGAAACCCTGGATAACAAACGAGATTGAAGGATTAATAGAAGAGGCGGAAATACAAAAAGAGGACAGACGAAGAAGGGCAAACCCGATATAAGGCTATAGAATGGGAAATAATTAGGAAGTGTAGGGCAGCTAAGGAATAGCAGTTGGATATGAGGTGTAAAGTAGAAGAAAAGTTTGAAGTAGGTAAAACGGATAAGGCTTATAATATAATTAAAAGGAATTTTAGAGATGTAGGGTACAGTAATAATAATATAAGTAACAAGACAGGGGTCATTTTGATAGAAAATGACGAAAAGGCAGATGGGTAGAAAGAATATTTAGAGAACATACACGCAGGCCATGAGTTAAGAGATATATAAGAGATAGTGTGGAGATAAATGAGCTTGGTTATTCCATAATGAGAAAATAGTTCGATGTAGCATTAAAAAACATAAGAATAATAAGGCGCCACATGGGATATGGGCGGAAACTCTACAACATGCAGGACAAGAGGTTAGAGATCGTATGTTTAAGCTAGTTAGTCACATTTACGAGACGAGGAAAGTCCTAGAGGATTATAAACGGAACGTGTTAGTAACCATAACTAAAAAAGACAGGCGCGAATAGGTGCAAGGCATTTAGAACTTAACCTCCCATGCTTTAAAAATCTTAACTAAAATTGTACAGAGAAGAAATTCGAAAAAGATTGTTAAAGGTGTATGTTTTGAGCGCGGCGCTGTACGGGTGCAAAACATGGACGGTGGTCGGGACGGGAAAGAAAAGGCAGAAATGTGGTGTTATAGGCAATGATGGGGATACCGTGGATAGTGGGTAGAAATGAAGAGGTATTAGAAAGAATAGGAGAACAGAGGACTCTATGGAAGTCTATAATAGGCGAGATAGATTTATACAGGACACCTTCTCAGGCATGAAAGTCTAGTCAGAAACATTAGACATTAGAGGCAGAGACGGGAGTTAAGGGGATTACAGGTAGACCTAGATTAGATTACTGTTCGCAAATAGGTCGGTTGTTCTAGTTTTAGGGAAATGCTAAGATTAGCTCAGGGTAGGAAAGAGTAGAGGTGCGTGTCCAGTCAGTCTTAGGACTAACGACCTCATGATGATGAGCAAAATACCGTTGAGCATTGAGTTGTTACCTTCCAGGTGTTCTACAAGTAATTGCATGACTGATTTGAGTTCTTATTGATTTAGGTGCTTATGTGATTTTAGGCAAATAAAAATAAACAATTGGCAAGCAGTATATTTCTTCATGGATCTCAATAAATATTTTCAAAAGTATCCGGACCATGCATAAAATTACTTGCCGGCTCCTGCTATAGACCATGACGTCTTTTTGATTTTGGCGTA